GTCGGGAATTCACAGGATTCTGTGGGCTCTCATTAAGCTATGGCTTATTTTAACCATGGTTTGTTAAATACGCCACCGTGTCTGGATTCATACACAATGCAAAGCCACAAACCATGACTGGATTCACACCACCCACCCACATTATGGTTTAACAAAATGGGTGACCCTAATTACAGCCTTGGTGCAAACGTGTTTTCTGTAAGCATTACTCATTTTAAAAATGCCAAAGCTGAACAAAATTCCTTGTTTTTTTTCCCTTGAACCACTCTTGTTTTACTTGTGAGATTTTCTGGAGGTGAAAAAACTTCCATCCAATTTCATTTTTGAGCTACTTCTGCAAACTACTGTGCTTAATGAAACTAAACGGGCACTAGAGGGCCAGAACTGCCTTTTTTTCAAAGAATGAGAATGGGTGAAGACATTGCTAAAGAGAAACTGGAAATTAGAAAAGTCATGTTTATTTGTCTTATTGCTACCCACCCTACCATTAGCTATCTATATACTACTAAAAGTCTTGTGTCTGTAATCTTCAACTGGGCAAAACAGTGCATTACAGGGCAACAATTTTTGAACCAAGATACCCCAAATGGGCTAACTTACAGAATGCATCCCAAATCTGGGACCCATGACTCCCCTGGGATTGAAATTTGGCAACTTTTATAAAACATTTTATGACATAAAAATGATCATAAAACATTTTATGACATAATAGAAAATGTCATAAAACATTTCCTGTGGTCAACTCCTGAAGTTTGACTGTGCTATGCAGCTCAATGTGAATGACCTGGGCTATTTTCAAAGCAGATTCATCTCTGAATATCTCCCTGAATTTTTAAGACCTTTTCCAGCGAAGGCAGTACATTAGAAGCTCTGCCACTGTAAATAAATAAATAAGGAAGTATCTGCAACGATGACCCAATGGGTCACAGTTTGCCTAGTCTCCTTTACAATGCTACAAGGAAAAACCCCATTAAAAGTATCCCTCAAATATTTTTTTCTTTCTCTTTTTTAACATGACCAAAAGTTCATGGAAACCAACCGACAAAATCCGTCTCTTCCATCTCACCTCGCGAGGCAAACTCACTTCAGCGGCAAACTTGCTTAAGGAGAACTTGGTGACCTGAAGGACCTCTTTGCAACCCAGGGAGGTGCAGACAGGGGAAGGCAGTCTGGGTCTGCCCAATGACTGGGTCCTAAGTCATATATAGGGCTCTCTATGTCATAACACCCCTTGAATTTTACCTAGAGACAGGCTGGTAGCCAACGGCAGTTGTTTGAATAATCAAACCCACCTGCTCCATACAGCCAACCTGGGTCATGATGTGCGTGAACGTGTGTATTGCCAGCTGTCAAGGCCAGCGGTTCTTTTAGTTCTTTAGATCCAGAGACAGACAATGAACCCACCAACAGGTGAGAAGATTTTAAGCTTTATTGTTAACTCTAGCAAACAGATTTAAACAGGAAAAGAAGAATATAAGATACAAAATGAGCAGATAGAATTAAACAGGAAGACACAAGCGTAAGATAAAAGCATAACATACCAAGCAAGATGATAAAAGTCTTCCCCTACTGCTGGGAGCTACTCTAAGGTGACAGTGGAGAGACCCCAAGGTGGCTTAGATAACACAGCTCCTGGCACCAAGGCCTGTGTCCACGCTCCAAGACTCAAGGGGCAATGCCAGGGTTTTTATCAAAGCCTGGCCCTGCAATCCATGACTGTTTCCACAGAGTCAGGGGCTGTGAGAGCGACCTTGACCAGATGTCACACCTGCTCATCCTGTGACTCAAGAACCTGGGAACTGCACAGATAAGCTAGTGCTTAACTTAAACAATCCTGAGGGTCTTCCTCCCACCTCCCACTTCTAAGTAAACGTGAAAAACAAGCCAGCTAAACATTATTATGACTCAGAGGGAACTTTCTTAACACATGCAGGAGAAATCAAAATATCAATAGAGGTGAATATGTGTAGCTCAGGGTTGAACTGTGGAGTCCTTGGGGTTCTCTGAGCTTGGTTCTTTTCTTGCAAACGTTTCATTA